ATGTTTCTATGTGTAACGTTCACATGTTGTCAAAATAACCAGGTGTGAAATTGAACTGAGGAGTTGAGAATGTAAGCTGCGTCTGTGTGAGGACACAGATGCCAGTTGGGCCCAACCTGCTGGTCCATGTGTAGAAGCAGATGAGATGTCCTTCCAGCATTAATACATTCTCTGCTGTCTACTGAGGACACAACGCAGAGCTCCTCTTTGTCCTGAGTGTTTTGGGTTCAAGCCCATTTATGTTTGTTAGACCAGACAAGTACTACTATACTACAGGGAGTGGCCATACCACAGCAGAGTTCATTCAATTATAAAGCAAAGGATAAAGCAAGGACTACAGGAAACATGTCTTCAGTGCTATTTAGGGTTAAATACTATACAGTGTGCTCAACTGCGCCAACCTCTTGTAAAAAGTGTTAGGAGTAATACATAAGATTAGACTTGAGTTTATGTTCATCTGCTCAGCTTCAGTTTGTGAAGTATTTACAAAGCCATGTCTGTCAGTCAACAAATATATTTTGGAAGTAGGCCTAACAATCATTTTAAGTTGTTGATGTTCCTCCTTGGGCTGCTTCCTGTCGAGTGGGGTGGCCGCCACAGTGGAGCACTGCGGTCCATGTACACAATTAGACAATTAGTTTTTACACCGATGCCCTTCCTGACAACCAAATGGGACAATTTAGACTCACCAGTTAGATTAACTATGGAACTATCTCCCCACCAAAACATTTGAGGGTGCGCAAAACACATTCCCAGCACTACTCTCCAACTCAGCATTTGAGAGCATGCAGGTTGTGTTTCTGCTCTAACAAATCGTGCTATTGTTTCAGCAACAGAGGATGACAGAGACTGCCCGCCATATCACATGCCCCACTAGACTAATTACCAGTAACTACAGTACTCAGCCCTCTGTAAGTATTGACGGTGGGGAGCAACATATGTTGTTATATACCCATCTCTTGCAAATTAAGTAAACGTTAGTGTTAGAGAAAAGGGTTAAGAAAAACAGGAATTTCACCAGGTTTTCCTATGAGGATGTTTCACTGAGTCACACCTACAGAACTACTCCACACTGATCAAAACTTGTTTTCCCCACTTATTTCTCATCCAGAGTATGTTGGACGGGGCTGCTCAAAATTTCTAGTTCATTCATCCTAGCTAGTGTCTGCCACAGGACAAAATGATCAAATTTTGTACATGGTTGGTTTAATATATAGCCAACATATAACAGGAACATTATCAATATCAGAAACACCGGATCATTGATCATTTTTGCTTGTAATGACAGTGCTATTCCTATGGGTCTGTCTAACAGGTTTTCTGCTGCTCCTCTGTGGGATAGACTACAGCACATCCTCTCCCTGGACATCTCTCTGTCCAGACTGCATGGAATTGGACTTGGACTATTGCCCACAGGAGAGCACATCCTGGCGTCATAGCCTGGGGCCACAGATCAACACTTTAGGCCTGACACTGCTGGGAGGAGCTTCACATCCTCACCACCCACCCTTTACTGTAAGGCCCAGTCTCACCCAACCCAACCCTCCCCAGGCGGTAGCCCCTCTCTCTTCTGGTCCTCATGTCACATTCCTCATCTGGGTCACAGTCGTCATCCCACACCACCCCACCCTTACCCTCTGAACCATGACAACAGAAAGTAAAGAAGGGAGGGCTCAATGTGAAGTTCAATGTCAGGTTAAGCAGAATGCAATCATGTAGTTAAAAAAAAAAACACAACCTTTGATGCCATCAGTTGACTAATTTGTTACAAAAACTAAAGTCTCTTTTAGTAGCGACTGAACCTATTCAAATATAAAAAGGCTAAGGATCTCTATCTACCATGTAATGAAGATCTCTCTAAAAAATGTATGAAAATAGCATATGGGAAGCAGAAGGACATGTATACAGTATATATATGTCTGTGGGTGTGTTTATGTGTCATCACAACATGTGTGTTTGTATGAGGCTGTGGATGTCCAGGTCGGTCTGATGATTACATCATGTGATCAGCCAAGCCAGCGCTGGGCTGGGTCCTTCACTGAGGGTGGCTCTTGGAGGAGTATGTGAGGCAGGCAGGAGCTGTGATTTAGACACTAACGTGATGGTCAGAGGAGTCCATACATTACTTTTATCAGAAGCCATGCAGGGTGCTGCTGTAGTGCTGCTGCTGCTGCTGCTGAGCTCCGTAAGTCTGTTGGTATCATTTGCCTATGTTAATATGTTGTTGATGGACTCAGGTTACATTTCTGAATTGGCCTGTGACGAAAGAGTACACTTATTAGAACTTATATGAAATAGAGATTCAGATGTCGTTTCAGTTTAAAAATATTACTATTTCAGAGCATTTGATGGCATCAAGATTATTTCTGTATTATCTTTTTGACATCTTGAGTTTTATGTTCTTAAACCTCATACAGGACATCCACTAGCACTGGAAATCACAACTGACACTTTTATGCTCAACTAGCTTCTGTCCTTCAGTATTTTATGAGGTTTAAGTGATTTTAGGAAAAAATAGGCATTATTATCAGCTGTGCTCCAGTTTCTTTATGTGTTTTTTTTTTTACATGGTGCATCACCGATAGCTCAAGTATATATATATATATATGTATGGTGGGGTCCTTACACGTGCATGTGATAGAATGCAAGGCAGGGATCTTTTTCATGTCATTGAGTATATCTCATAAAATCCTACATAGAAAATGTTGCCTTCTTTGTCACTGTGACAAACTTTAAGCATTGCACCAAAATGGTGGCCCTGCAGAAAGTATTTTACCACAACAACTCTTGTATTTGGCCTTCACAAAAGAAGATACCGTGAGAGGCCTGGCAAAGCTGAGGGAAGGTTATATTATAGTTTATATTATAGATAACAGTTTATATTAAACTATATTATTATAGTTTATATTATAGGTTATATTATAGTACAACAAAAATCTCCTAAAGCTGTGATGTATGTATTTACAAAACTGTGGATATATTCCTAATTTGAGGTGTCTCAGTTTTTCCATATTTTGATTGAGGTCTTGTGATTTAAGCCTTTTTTTAAATTTAATTTATTTGTTTATTTTGCAATTTAGCTATTAGCAAACCTATTAATTAATTTTTTTTTGCTTGTTTAGTTAGTACCTACACAGTTGTTACAGAATTCCCTGCATTGTGTGTCTCTATTTGTCATTTTCTTCCTCCCGGTTCACTGGATGAAAAGGGCTGGGGGGGAAATGGCAGCAGTATGTGATGTATAGCACTACCAGCCCAGTGTGTGGAGGCGTGGGGAAACATATGGAATACCCCTTATATTGGTATTCATTCATTGTAATTCAAACTTAAATGTCTGTATCAATGCCACACCACTGATATATAGTTTGAAAGGTTCAGTATAGCAACCTTTACCTTTAGAGAACCTTTATAGCCATGTTTGAATAGTTCTGACTTTGGCGTCCTCTAGTGGCAGTATCAAAAACAGACACTGTAGTAGACAGTAGTAGACACACCGGCTGTTGTCACTATAACTCACTGAAACTTTGAACCTGGGTTTGCAATATGAAACTCTGCTCCCCTTCTGTCTCCTGTGTGTTCATGGTGTGTTCAGGGCACCATCCAGCAGATGATCTCTGTCCTGGGAGATCTTACTACAGCAGGTGTTTTCGCTTACTGGGGCTGACTGGACTTCTGAACCGGTTGAAAATGGTGGAGTGATTCATGATTATATATAGAGAGGTTATCGATGCCGGATGTCTATTTAGGAAAAGTCAGTTTTAGCAGAGTAAGTGAAAACACATGTGAGGTGCGTGGGGCCTTTTGATAAGTTCTCCCAGCCTCACTCAGCCTATGTTTGCAGTTCTAAAGACTGTGGGCTTTTAGCGATTTTTTTATGATAGTGTGAATGTATGGTCCATCATTTTTGTTCACAGTCCCCTGTATCTGCATTAGTAGCGTCTGTCTGTGGAAGCCACATAAAAAGTGTTTGTCTCTGGAATGTTTAACATGAAAGTTTGCATTGTTTTGGACGTATTTGCAGATTATACTTGTATGTTATTCCAAAAGCGGCATTTTCTTTGGGAACTGTTTACATTGTTAAATATCGTCTTTTCACATCACTAAAGCAAGCACGATACTGAAGTAAAATTTCTGTCGTAAACTGCGGTCCCATAAACTTGGAAGTATTGTCTTTATATTTGAATTGTGCTCTTTGGCCATTGTTGCTGCTGTTTATTACAGTTCTAGAATTAACTCATTCATTTTGCTTTAGGAGAATTACAAATCAGTAGAGAATTTGTCTGATAAAACTAGATTTGATATTCCCACTAAGACTGTAAAATAGGAGTTCAGCATGCACAGTACATATGGAGGGCACATGGTAATGTTTTTCCTCATTTAACTTTTACCTAGGAAGTTGGAGCTATGAATGATGTGACCACTCAGCCTGGGATCAGAGTATCACCTGGACAAGAAGCTTCCCGTGAGGGCATGACTCTGCAGTCTGATCTAGTTGAGATGACACCAATGATCAGCACTTTTTCTCTGAAATCGCTTCCTGGTACAAACATACAGGATGGAGACACTGAAGCTGTAGTGAAAACGGAGACAGGTGTAGAAGCACAGACCACAAACTCAATCAACAGAGAAAAAGACAAGCCAAAAGGTGGCAAAAAAGAAATGATTCAAGGTGAAGTTAAACAACCACATCCTCTCTTTCTCACTGGAAATGAGCAGATTTCAAATTCACAGCTTGACATATTAAAGACAGTGACCCGGTCATGGAGCACCAAAGGAAGCATCACAACCAGGATGCCTTCTGACTACACTCTTGAAACTGCTCAGCAGCAGAGACAGGTTCCTGAGCTTTTCAGTGCAGCCAAGGAGGGATCCTCCACCACAGGGTCAGGGTTTGTTGCTTCCAGCAGGTACCCTTTGTCTGAGGAGGAAGGTGTTAGAGAAGTGAGACAGGAGGCATCACCACCTCTGTTTTCACCTCCAGTTTTAACAGCTACAGTTTCAGTTACCGGTTGTAGAACAACAGATGAAACTGTATCACTCAAGGGAGCAGCAACAGAGGACTTTGCTGCTCCTCATCAAGATCCAGCCCCAAACAGGCCTGTTTTAACTCCAATGCTGCAAAGTGGTGAAGTGCTAAGTAACAGGGACATGGTGGTGGAGATGGGTAATGTTTCAGCTAGTGAGATAAAAGATGAAATGGAAGACAGTTTGGAAACTGTTTCACCCACAACAGAAACATCACCAAAAGAGCAATTTCCTGGTGGAGAAGAGGAGAGATGCAGAAAGGCTGATGATTATGAGATAGATTTAAGGGTAGAGGAGAATGCTGGAAGAGACAGAGAGATGGAAAAACAAGGTCCTGATGATGAGACTGAGGAATATACTCAGTCTTCACTTGACTGGAAATCCCAGGTCAGCTCTGAAGAAACCACAGTCCAAACAGAGACTGACTCTCCACAGCAGAGTGTCAAAGCAGGCAGGCAGCCACTTACTAACACAGACAGACGTCATGGGGCAGATCTAAGACCTGGCATCACAGGTCAAAGGGTAAGACACTGTTTATATTTAAGTGCGCCTGTCTAAATTTTCATAATCAAAGCTGGGTTTCACTTTTGAGGTTATTGTGTCTCATTCACAATGGCACTGGGTGTTAATGACAATATAAATACACATATATCATCATAAATTAGATTCACATTTGTATTCTCATTTCATTATCCACCATGACCTTGGCTGATTTGAGGTGAACTGATGAAACTTAGTCTGCCTGAAGCAGATTTGATGACTGAGTGCGCAATTGTCTGTATGCATGTGCCATTGTGGGTGTTAGAAGACAAGAGAGTGAAAGGCACTGTCTCCTTAGTCTGTGAAATTCAGTTTCTAGCATTTTTGACTACAGACAGCATACAATGTTTTTACACCAGACGTTTAATGTTCCTGAATCACAGGCGTTACTGCAGCAAACAGACATAATAACTAAGATATATGAATTTCCACTTCAGTTTCATTGTTGCCTGTCAAAAAGGATCATGGTAAACCAGTGCTGTTAAAATTTTGAAGTATTGTAACTTTTAAATATTTTGTCCTATTCTGCTTTAAGCAATAAATATTAATATTGTTCTTGCTGGACCATTGACCACGACCCAGATCTAACACTCTACCTTACTCTCTCTTTCTAACCTCACTTCAGGGACCCCAGGGTCCCCCTGGACTACCTGGACCACTTGGACCACCTGGACCACCTGGACCACCAGGACCTAAAGGAGACAAAGTATGATTTAATTTAGAAAGCTAACTTTTTTATATTACCATTTAATGAAATGGCTCAGCCTCCTTGTAATTTCAGTGTTTTACTTATAAACAAACAGTGCAACCTTATGCAGCTTTTGTTTCAGTTTACACACACACCTGTCAGTCTCATGCAAAGCAGTGTCACTGCTCTCACCAACTGTCTGTATAATTTTGTGGATAGCCGACCAGTTCAGACCACAGTAAAAATAAAGTGGTGGCTGGTTTAAAAACTACAGTATTAGATGAAAACCAGACAAATAAATAGCATTTGCTCACATTGCTTTATCCTTATACTTTATTCTAGCCTTAAATTCCTACAAAAATACTAAATATAACATAAATCTGTCTACATATTACCTATATTCAGATAAAATAGGTGCCCACATAAAGCAGTGAATGACTTAATAGTCTTTGTATTTCCTCTGCAGATAAAATCATGGCTCCTGAGTCCATACACATCACTTGTTATAGTTCACTAGTTGTAAACTATAATATAACCTTCCCTCAGCTTTGTCAGATAATCAATCCCCCACCACTTGATCAGACTTTAGATGCAGTCACTTTTGGTGGCATGTGAAGAGATTTGTGCAAGACACAGCAAACTGGTTTAGACCACTGCTACTATTTAAACCATTTGTTTAAAGCTCACCGCAACTGGGTTTAAGAGCCCTTGTAATATTTTCTATAAACTGCAACTTTGCTAAATGACACACCAACCAGCCCCATGAGCCTGTTTTTCTCAGAATCCTGTGGCCTTCTTCTGCAAGCTGACGTAATATTTCTTTTAATGATCTTCTTAGGGCTATCAAGGTGTTTTGGGCAGGACTGGGTGGCCTGGATACAGAGGGCCAACTGGTCCCGCTGGAATGCCTGCTATTGTGGTATTTAAAACCTCTGAAGAAGAGTGGGAGGCATTCAAGGTAAACTGCTGTTGGCGCTCTACACCAGTAACCAAACTCACATAAATGTTAGGTTAGGTTAGGTTAGGTTACTTTATTTATACCCGTAGGTAAATTTGTCTTGCAGTCAGATCAAATGACATCCTTGGCACAGTCACAAAATACAAGAATAAAATACAACAACA